GGTATAAAAAAAAAGAAAGACGCAGGCAGCTGATGCTGCAGGTGACTTAGAGGATCCCTTTTATATAAAAATGTAAAATGGTATTTATTTAACTAACTTGAATTAGATTATTTTATTAGGTAATTTATTACTAATAATGATGTAGTTTGAAATATATTTAATAAATATGAAATATGTAAAGAAATGTATTAAAGTCCTATCATAATACTATATCTCATTCCTTCAAAGCATCATGAAAGCATTATGATTTTTTATATGCATATTCCTTATAATTGTAAATTTTTTTGTTATTAAGTCTTCAATAAAAATAAAAGTAAAACTTTAAAATATTGTACGTAATATATTAAATACTTAATAACTTGTTTAAATTTACAAAACAATCTACAATTCTATTTTTGAAACTTTACTTTTTAACATTTGTAATCTATTTATCATTTTTTTACCAGTTAAAAAAATTTTAAAAATTAAAAGACATCTTAAAGTATTCTTTTATATAAAATAAATAATTGATAAAAAAATTAATTTAAATTTAAACCATGGACTTAATAGTTATATATTATTTTATGTTTTAAAGACCATTAATCAAAATCACCAATATAACTATATGATAACTAGAATTTTTTTATTATAATTAGCATGTCTCACAATTGTTTTTTAGAAATTTAATTTAAAATATCACATTGAGATTGTTTCAAAAAAATTTACAATTATAAAGAATATGCATATAAAAAATCATAATGCTTTCTATGCATATTCCTTATAAATAGATATAGATATGTAACAATCTCAATGTGATCTCAATATATACATACATACATACATACATACATACACACATAATATATATAATATATACATACATACATACATACACACATAAATATATATAATATATACATACATACATACATACACACATACACACATAAATGTATGTATGTATGTATATATTATATATATATAATAGAAAATTGTCTACTAGTAATAGCAAAGCTAATCTATATATGTAATTGATCATAATATAATAGATCATCTTAGACATTGAAACAATTTCTACAAATAGATATATATACATATATATATATATATATATACATTTCCACATACATGTAATCAAACAACCATCTCTACTATGTTTGTTTTCCTTACACTATATTTCAAACAAAAGATTATTTTGGTAGATTCTAAATTATAGACTTAATGTAATGATTTTTGTTGATATTGAATAAAACAAAAAGAACAAAATCTTCTTTTAAGAGAGTTGGGTACTCTGGAGATACACAATCCATACTTATATATATATATATATATATATATATAGGTTTATATTTTTAAAAATAATGTTTTTTTTATAATGCCTTGTCTTTTTGTTAACATAAGAAATATTTGTTTGTACATAAGATAGTTCATGTCATTATAAGGGTCTCTAAGGCTATACTTCAAGCACTTGCTACAACATGTTGTTTCTAAAGCAATAAAGAATCTTTTATATAAGTAATAATTGTAATGGTACAATTAATGAAATACAATCTATAAATTTTATTATGTTAGTTTGACAAAATAAACTATCAGATTTTTATTAGAAAATCATTAAAATTTGTTTTGAATAAGTTCATTTTTAAAAAAAATATATATATTAACCAACACTATAAGATTTATATAGGTGCTTTTTGCAATTCTTTTCTATTGTATTTTCATAGTCATATTTGTTTCTAGGGAATTGTTAAATTGACCATGACATTTACTAAATCAACACACCCATCTTAACAATCATCAAAAAATTCTCCATTGTTGGATCCACAACCAATAATGATGGATGGATCAATGTACTAAATGCTTTAGCAATCCCCTTGTTTTATTGTTATATATATATATATATATATATATATATTTTCATTTTGATTTCTTTAATAGTTTTATTTTTAGATTAAAAAAAATTATATAATTATTACATACTATGTTTGCATTATTATATAGTATTATACATTAGCAATCCACTTGAATTATTACATTTGATGGACATCGGGAGCCTCAAATGCTTATAAAAATAGTAGTAAGATCTTATCATGTTGGTTTTAACATAACCTATTATATTGTAAATTTTGTAAATGTAAATTATTAAAGATCTTTATTGTTTTAAATTATTTTTTAATTACAATAATTAAGTTTTGAAATACCTAACACCATGTTTTAAAAAAATTCAAAAAATATTATGCAATCTTAATAATAATACACATTATTAAATTTTAGATTTGATTCATTATTAAATTCATCTTAAAATCTAATTTTCTTTGGTTTTTAAAGTGCTTAAACATAACACATATATTCTTGTATCAAATACATCATGTCAAAAAGAGAAACAAAAATGACAGTAAGAGTACAGTATCCAAAAGATTGAAAGAAAAAACTGATTTATGAAATTTCAATTTCAGAAGCAACTCACAATCATGAATTCAATTTCTATATTCTAACTCCCACAATAACATCCCAAACCAATACTTCAACACACAACTAAAAAAACCATAAATTTTGCATACAAATTGAATCAAAATTTCCACCTCAAAGGAACATAATCCTCCTTTTTTGTGCAATCAACATGTGTTTGAAGAATTCCAATCCACAAGAAATGAAAGGAAAATCCACTTGCGATCTCTATTCTCTTCAACAAAAAAATGGTGAAAAAGCATTGAAAGAGAGGGAGGCGTCACATATCAAAATGTAGGCACACACACACACCTACATATATATATATATATATATACACCAAAGAAAATGGAGGGCATTCAAATACCCTATATCACATGGAGTCTGGTTAAGTGTGTTTTGCATGCATCAACTCGCATGGCGAGTGGCGCGGCGAGGGCCATGGCGCAGTGCGTGCGAGCGGTGACGAAGAGCTTCACCACCACAGCGTCGCGAGGCTTCATCGACGCGGGCCACGCGCGCGGCATGTCGAAGGCCGCGGTGTTCGTGGACAAGGCCACCAGGCTGATCGTGCAAGGCATCACGGGCAAAAACGGCACATTCCACACCGAGCAAGCCATCGCGTATGGCACGCAGGTGGTGGGCGGCGTGACGCCGAACAAAGGCGGAACGCAACACCTCGGCTTGCCCGTGTTCAACACCGTCGCCGAAGCCAAGCAAGGCGTCCAGGCCAACGCCACTGTCATCTACGTGCCACCCAAAATGGCGTGCAACGCCATCCTGGAGGCGCTGGACGCGGAATTGGACCTCGTCGTGTGCATCACCGAAGGGATCCCGCAGCAGGACATGGCGAGGGTGAAAGCCGCATTGCTGTCGCAGAGCAAGACGCGCCTGATCGGCCCTAACTGCCCGGGGATCATCAAGCCCGGCGAGTGCAAGATCGGCATCATGCCGGGGTACATCCACAAGCCAGGCCGCATCGGTATCGTATCCAGGTCGGGAACTTTGACATACGAGGCAGTGTTTCAGACAACCAGGGTGGGGTTGGGGCAGTCGACGTGCATCGGCATCGGGGGCGATCCATTCAGCGGCACCAGCTTCGTGGATTGCTTGCGGTGCTTTGTGAAGGATCCACAGACAGAGGGCGTGGTGTTGATTGGGGAGATTGGTGGTTCAGGCGAGGAAGACGCGGCGCGCTTCATCGTGAGCAGCGGCACGCAGAAGCCCGTGGTGGCATTCGTGGCCGGGCTGACGGCGCCTCCGGGGCGGCGAATGGGCCACGCGGGGGCGATCATCGCTGGGGGCCGAGGCACGGCTCAGGCCAAGATGAAGGCGCTGCGCGCGGCGGGCGTGACTGTGGTGGAGTCCCCGGCTCACTTGGGCAAGACCATCCTCAAGGTCTTCCGCGACCGTCGCCTGCTTTGATGCCGTAAGACCCCCACCCCAAGACCCGCCCTCGTTTACTGTTGTGATGTGAAGACGATGAAAGGATCAGTAATAAGGAAAATTCATCAGTACAACTACATGAAAGTAATTATTTTTACGTGAATCTTTTGTTTCATTAATTCAATCATTTTTTTGATTCTAATCCATCAAAATTTAAATCTTTCATATATATATATATATATATATATAAAGAGAGAGAGAGAGAGAGAGAGAGAGAGATATTTTGTTTCTTTTTTTTCTCAATTTTTTTTATTTGAACATTGTTTTTGAAGTTTAATAGTTGTGGTGTTTGAGTTTTAAGGATATTCAAATTTTCCTCACTTGTTATGAGTGTAGTTTTTTTGTATAAGAATTGATTCTTTAATGTATTAAATTCACAATATATATATATATATATATATATATATATATATTAGGTAAAGAATAAAAGGCAAAGTATGGTTTAATCTTAAAATGCATTTTAAAAAATTAATCTAGTAATAATAAATATTTTATAATATATTTATGCATTCTATATACACATATGTATATTAATAAATAAGAAGGACTTCATTTGAAACGTTTTGCAAATAATTTCAACACATCAACAAGTTCAAAATAATTCTGTTGGTTAGGCACTAAGACATAAAACCAAATAGGAATGCATTGAGATATTAACAAATCAAAAAACAAAGTTAAAAATAAAAAACAAAAAACAAAACATGCATGAATTTTGAAAAAGATAATTTAGGAATGAAAGATTATTTTTGCTAGTTTTTGTTATTTTACCAACCAATTTATTTAGGATCTAAAAGAATACGTTGTAACTTCACAATAAACTGATATGATTTTTTCTGTCTTATAAACAATTACCTTCAGAAATTCAAATAATGTCTACAATGAAAAAATTGAACATTCTATATTTAAAACTATGTAGACGATTGATATAACTATTTCATACAAATGTTGATTTAACTAAGAAATAATTCAATTAGACATAAGTATTGTTGTAATTTTACTAAGAATTATAATTTTTTAAGATAGATTGGTTGTCAACTTGTATTAGTTATCATGGGTATTAAAGTTAAACATGTTTTATCAGAAAATAAGGATTTTTTAATCGTAAAATTATTTTTAATATCACTGTTTTATTAAACTTAATATTTGTACCACAGTTTCAATTGTAGTGTATATAAAAATACTAAATTCATGAAATAAATATATATTTATAAATATATATATATATATATATATATATATATATATGTATAATTTTGAATGAAACATAATTATAACTTTATATATTTTACTTTTTTTAATATCACAAATTTATTTGTAAAGTATTATTGTAAATATATCTCATTAAAAACCATGCATTTTCTTTGTCATACAAACAAAACATTATTATTTGAAAATAAGAATGATTATACTACTCTTTTTTTAAAACATATTGTATGATAGTTTTTCTTAATTTTTCAGCAATCATATTAACAATTAATATATGCTATTTTTCTTTTTAAATGAATTTGTTTCAAAGATATTCAAACTTATACATAAATTTATTTATTTTCTATTTAATTTTAAAGTGATATGTACATGTAGTGAAAATTATTATCTTTCAGATTTGTGAATTTTATGTTATGATTAACTAATTTTCCTTTTTGACAAATTCACATTGAAAATTAATGCACATTTTAATCATTTCACATTTTTACTAAATCAAATTATTTTAATCATTTTTGAAATAATATTCTACATAATATAATAACACATATATGAGTGTCTTGTTGGTTTACTTTAAGGTTGAATGATTTCACTTTAGTAGGTCAACAAATTTCAATGGATGGTTTCATAGAAAATAATTGAAAAGTTTATATCTTTTCTTCTGGGGAAAAAGAAAAAAGAAAAAAGAAAAAAAGATAGGAAGCTCAAAAAATATAGAATTTAAATAATTTCCGGATTGTAATACTTCTACAATGTAGTAAAAATAAAAATTATTTATTTCTTATCATTTATCTTTTGTTCAACTTTATTATGTTTGTTAGAATATGTAAATGAAAATATATGAATATATATATATATATATATATATATATATTGTACAGAGTTTCATGTTTGAAGAAATGAGCACTTGTTTTAAAGCTTGTAATTTCTTTTTTGATTTATTTCAGTGCATTTGTGCATGCTAGAAATTTCAATAAAACAAAAATACTACGATTTTGCTTGAATTATTTCTGAATTTTAGAACATATTGCAATTGCTTCAGAGTATTCTTTAGCTTAATTTATATCAACTTTTGTCTATTGTGAATCCATGATTCGATAATTTATGTGGTAAATATAGCTCTTATTAAATATAAATTGATCACTTAAAAATATAAATTCATACTAGTTGATTTTGATTGTATTATTTTTATTACTATTATTACTGTTGTTATTTTAAAAAATTAAACTATATTTTCATTTAGATTTTTATTTTTATGTAGATTTCAGCCCCTGAATAATATACATACATATTTATTTATTTTTCTGAAGTTTTGAATGCTTTTATTTCAATGTTTTCTCACCAAAAAAATACCATTAAACACTAGATGAATTCGGAAACTTCATGCAATCATGCACTGCACTTTTTGAATCATGGAATATAATTATGATTTTATAATGGAGAATAGTACTACTATCCTTTTTTCTTTATTCTTTTTCTTTTTTCAAAGTTTTATTTATTAAAGCACTTCCCAAGTCTATAAAAGAAGCATATGCCCTTTGATTTTTAGAGAACGACATTTTAATTCTTTAAATAATAATTTTAAAACAAACTTATTTATTGACTACATTTATAGGTAAGTATACATTTATGTACAAGTGAACTCATTTATAAAGATTTGCATGTATATGTATTCACACACTTATATATACTAGTAGATAACCATGATGTTGGGCATAGAAACCCACAATCCCTTGTTCCCATGTGTCCCTTGTTCCTACATTGCCTCATTCTCATGTTTGGCCAATGAGATGGCTTCTTTGGCCCTTTGTGTTATATCCAAGCAATTTCATCATATAGATATGAAAAAATTTACAAACTCACTAATTAAAAGCATCATCTATTATTTTGATAATATCTACTGTAAATAAAAACATGTTTATTTAAATTAATCATTATTAAACGCCACACTCATGTGCAGTGTGACAGCATGAGTTTTAAAATAAATCAATCAATCAATCAATCGATCAACCAAACATTCAAAAATTATTGTAACCAGCTCTTTCCTAACCCTAATGGAATATGGAACAAACACAAAGTTAATCCCGTTAGCAGGACTAAAAATATTTTGATTACTCTTAGAGTGTGGCCACCGGTGGCGACAACGCTCGCGCCATCGGGCGGCCACGCTCCCCCGCCCGCAAAAAGTTGAAGGATGGGACGATGCTCGGAAAACGGGATAAACAGAAAGTCGGATTCGCACAAGAGGAAATTTTAAGTCAACGTCTTCTTAGATACCGAAGTATTCCTTCCAGGAAGGACAGGTTTCTGTGCTGCGAATCTATGTTCTGCTGCGTCGAACTTTTATTATTATTATTATTATTATTTTAAATAATCTAGTTTTATTTCAATGTTCCTTAATGGATGCCGAATCCAGCTGGACATCCGAAAGATCTCGGAACTCAGTTCTCCTGCTTGTTTCTCACCTTGGTTCATGCACACTTCGCCGAGTTAACGAATTTGAAATCGATTCAGTGTTGTTCTGACTTTAGAAGGCGTGTATTCTAATACATGAAGATTCCGTCCCCGGCTTTCCCTAATTTTGAGCATGGAAACTTGCGAAAAAGCTTGGTTCGAAGGGAATGACAACTGGCGATCGGAGGTTGGAGGAGGTAGCATTCTAAGAGAGAGAACCAGGCCGAAATACGAAACCAGATCGCACTATACTTTATGCTGAACTTTGCCAGGACGTGGAGATGGAGCGGAATTAGCTGTAATAATAGGATGATGCATGGGAGCAGCAGCTCTGGTGCGGCAGACGAGATCATAAGTCTCCAGCCTGCTTCAACCATGATCAATCAATTGATGAGAAGTTCAAGGTACTCACACAAAAAAGAGAGGCTAACATACAGACAGACAGTTTTGGAAATTGTTTAAGAACTGTTGAAATGTTACAAGAATATCATACGTGATTGATTGTAAGGAAAAAAAGAAAGAAAAAGAAAGCATCCGTCTGCACATACTTGACAATTTGCTCCAATTTGGAACAGCACTAAGCACGATGCATCGTGTAATTCGGATCTCTGGAGCCTCGTTTCTACTTGCTTAGGGTTTTGCTTCAAAACCTTCTCTCGTAGAGCAATGGATGGATGAATACTTGAATGAACGGAATATTGCGGTTGAGTTGGATGTGGATGAATATGTGGATGGATGGATGGATAACCCGACCTTCGCATAAGAACTGATTTGTTTGATGAACAATTCCTTGAATGGCCAAATAAAATTTTAAAAGAAAAAAAAAGGAAAAAAGAAAAGAAAAGAAAGATAAGACGAGGACTGTCTTCCATGCCTTGCTGTTTTGTTTCTTTGGAAATTTGGGTACCCGATCATTGGTAAGGTCTTGAAAGATCTTGTTTACAATTTGACAAAGATTATTTATATACTTTTTATTTATTTCACTCTTTTTTTATTTCACAAAAATATTTTTACATTTCTTGTAAAGGAAAAAGTATATAATTTCAAAGAATGGCTCAACTGGAAATTTAGAATGCAGATTAAAACACACTTCACATCCACAAAATTAATTAAAAGCACCACTTCCCAACAATTGTATAAGAATGTGAGAGTAAATTTATTTGTCAAGCCAAATTACCAAATAGCATCAATTTCGAGTTGGTTGTAATTAGTAGAGTGAAGTGAGTAAGTGCAAACAACAAAAGAAAAATAATGAAGAATAAAAAAAATAGTGAAAGAAAGACAATCAAACAAATACACACTCCAAAACTAAACACAATGTGATATATGGATTCTTACTTGATGCAAAAATTAAAAAAATAAAAATCAAGAGTTTTTGTTTTGGTAAATCTTCTATCTTTTCAATGAAATGAAATAAAAAATATAAATCAAAGTTACCATGAGTAAATAATGTCAATTTAAAGATAAAAATTAAATAATGGAAAAGTTAGAAAATTAAAATTTATC